GCCCTGCAGCTGTGGACCCGAATCCTCCCAACCCAACCCTGGCTGCTCTGGGACTCATCCAACCCAGCGTGATCCCTTGCTGCTGGTTGGAAGAATAAAAATCCACAGACAGGACTTTTTGATGTAGGGGCAGCCGCAGCAACCTCCAGCTCCCCACCTCGCACAGCGGAGGATGCTTCCTGACCCTAAAACAAACAGCAAGACATGCGTTACTCACGTCTTTTTATCGCTTTTATTGACAGAGAGCTTCTGACATTTACATATCCAACATTTACACTTCAGAATTGCACTGGGTTGGTTACACTCACATTATAAAGTAAAATTATGTGCAACTCAATTACAGTCACAGTAGATAGGCAGTAAATTTTGGTGACCGCAGCTGTAAGCTACGTCACAGCATTCAGAGTAACTTCCATTTGGTTGCGGGGAGATCATTTCAAGCTGATCCCCAAATCAGGTGTTAAATGATTTGGAAAAACCACTCTGGACCATGCAGTAGGAACAATTGTGCTGGGATTAAAATAACAAAACAGAATGCAACACTAAGCTACGAGGCTTTACATTTGTGTTTTGTTCATCTAGTCACTCACACGGCTTGCGGTAAGAGATATATAAAAAAAACCGACAATCTGCAAGCGCTTGTTCTGCACGACTGGCTTCCGAAAAGTGTCTCACAGTGCCCCAGTGACAGCTGAGCAGGATGGTGCTCTGCTGGGAAGGGAGAACTCTGTGGCTCTATTTGGAACAAGATTGATGGAAATGGCTATTTGTGTTTTTCTCTCTAATTAGATGCATGTTCCTGTTAACAGGAAATTACGGGCAAAAATGCAGAAACACAAAGTATGTAATAGACACATTGCGAATACTTCCTTTTCCCAATTGTGCATTATGAGTGGCTCACAGACGGGTCATTTACCTCTGCATCCAACAACCCCCCGAGCCTCACGATCTTGCCTTACCAGCAGCTGAAGTCCTAGCGTCTCAGCTGGAGTCAGGCAATAGCTGAATACAAGGTTAAATCCTGTCACAGTTTTGTTTTCCTTATAAATGGGATTCCCAGGAAGCCTCCAAACCTTTACTTCATTTTAGGAGACGCTACATACCTCTGTAGCTTATTAAATGATCATTTAACAAGGCTGAGTAAAGCCAGGAAAGGACACCAAGGCCACAGTGTGGGCTTTCTATTGGCCAAACAAAGCAAGGGGACTTTCGCCTGTGTCTTTGGTTTAGACAAGGTGAGCGAGGTCCCATCACCTGAGCTGTCCTCGTGGCACCGCCAAAGCCTGACTCGAGTTGGGGACAGCCGGCTGCCTCACTCGCCCCCATCCACCCTCGCAAACCTGCCCTCGACACAACGATGAGCTAGCTCAGGTTAGGCAGGGTGAACGCAAAGCGCACAAAGATGTGGGGTTTGCATCCTGTTCCCCACGGAGGAGTAAATTAAGGCTTTGGCTTGATACGCATCTGCGCCTACTTTGGGTGCAGCATCAGAGCAACAGCCGCCCTGTGCAGCCGCCCCCCGGCCCTGCCGCGAGCAGGGCAGGAGACCCAAAACCTGCTTGTCCTCCCTCAGCGTCGCAGGCAACCCGGGGCCGAGCTGGGGTCGGGGTGCACAGCATCACCTGAAAAAAGCCTTTTAAGTGCAACTTCGGATAGCGATTCCCTGCATCGGAGTCACCCCGGGCAGGCGGCAATTGAGCAGAAAGTGAAAAGGTTCACACGCAGCAACTTTCTGATGTTTGGTGGCATCTGCCAAGACACCTGCAAGTTCTGCATTTGGCCCCGACACCATCTGCCTGCGGACAAGCTCCGCTGCCCCCAAGTACCCACCCAGCTGATTCCTCCTGGGGCTTTCAGCCCACCGAAAGCTTCGGCACTTCGAGAGAAGCACTGAGTCACCGCGGATACAGGAAGGATATTTCTGCAAGGTGGAAAAGCCTTCACATGATACAAAGAGTGCCAGGGCAGAGACCTTCAGCTGAATTTTAAAACTCATTTTAGTACATACAGGAAGAGTCAGAATAGTAGTTCTTTGTAATAAGAACTTTGCATTTACATTCTTTTTCTCTCTGGTAAAATTACTTATCTGTAATGATTGCTACTTGCACAATGGTTCAGACTTGCTTGAAATAACAGCTACAACCGCACTTTTGTACGAACATTTTCAGTGCTTTCAGTACCTACAGATAATACCCTTAATTACGCATCCTTTTTGTATCAAACTTAATTTTTTCAAGCATACATCACTCACACGAAGACATTCACCATTAACCCTCTCAGCAGCGGCAGCACTTTCCACCTCGGGACACTTAAGAAACCCCTGAATCCTGATCAGGACCAGGCACAACGTGACCTTAGCAGGGCTGAAAAACCAAACACGTGGAGGTCCCCAAAGTGCACGATTTTCTTGAGTCTATTCTGTTGCAGCGTGAAGGTCTTTGGCGTCATTGCGACTTAACTTGGGGCTATAACTGCACTTGACGTTGATTTCTGGACAGCATTCTCACCTGGGTGGCAGAGCGCTGCCCGTCCCAGCACAGCCCCGTGCACGAGCTGCTGTGTCCAAAGCAACGTGCAGCTGCTGCAGCCAAAAGCACGAGCGCTTCCCGGCAGGGAGCGGCTGGGTTTTGTCGTTCAAGGTCTGTTGGTCGCTGCTTCAAGGCTAATTTCACAGGAGAGAGAAGAGCACTAGGATCAGCGTGAGCAAGTCCAACACGTCTGCAGGTGCCTCCCTGCCGTGCCCATTCCCTCATCTAGACGTTCATAACCAGCATTGCCAGGAGGAGGGGGAAGATTCCTACAAGAGACAAATAAGAAGCTTAACTTTTCACTCCACACTTACTCAACTATTTTTTCCCTCCCTGGTCCCCATTACCTCCCCCTCCCCATTTTCACAGCAGGATCTTAAAGCAACAAAAGTATCGGTGTGACAACAGACTGTAGCAAGAAGGCCTTTAAGCTTATTTCAAGCAGAACACACAGGAGACAATAACATAAAGATAGGCAAGAGCGTGGCACAGGGCTTCAGAAATGTGCATTACTTACCGACAATGATCAAGTTCGCTCCACCTGGAAAGGAAGCAAGCCAAAACGTGAAACTCGGCACCCATTCAGCACTGTAATTCATCAAACCGCACAACGTGCGGTATCTCAAATGAGAGCTGATGCACACAGAAGACACAGAACAGGACCCCTGCACAGCCCAACTCCACAGATGTTTTATCTGTTAAAACACAGATGTATTTACCAGGATACATTTCCACCAGCCTGCAAATCCACGTTACGACCATGCTCTTTTGACACTAGATTTTAACTGAAGCTCCTTCAGGAAGCATCAAAGGCTTACTCCTTAGCAGAATTATCTGATCTGAGGATTCACGGAGGAAGGAAAAAAACAGGTATTTTGAAGATAAGAGATAGTCACCTCTGCATTCAGGAGTGGGCTTGCTCCAGACTCCCTGGTATTGATCTCCTGCCATACACTGAAGAAAGGTCGGTCCAGCAAGGGTGAAGCCATCCTTGCATTTATAAGCTACAGTGGAGCCATGGACAAAGTTTGCGCCCTTTGTGCCGTTGTGCATCCCGTTGTCAATCGTTGGGGGCTCTTCACAGAGAACATCAGGGAGCTGTCCTGTGGGAGGAACATCAGGAAGAGTGTCTGAGTGCTGCTCCTAACTGAAAAGGTGAAGAGGTGTACGGGGAGAAGGAGGTGCAGCCAAACGCCGTGCATCCAGCTGCAACTGAAAAAACTTCAAGATTTCTTGCTTGGTACGGGACCTCACTTACTGCCCGTTAGCCACAACGCCAGGATCTCACCCCACGAAATAAGCCACTGAAGCGCCTAATCAGGCCAGAAGAAATGTTTCAGCCCTTTTTAGCTTCACATAACACTATACACTGCTAACTTAGAACACCTGATTTCAGCATTGTATCGAATTGAGCGGACAAAGTTCTAACACACACAATTATCTTCATCTTGCCCTGGTAGCAAGAGAAAGAAAATTCTCCTCCTGTGACTGGGTTTTTTTCTGTAACTTCTGCTCTTCCCTCGCTCCTTCCCCTTTGTCAGCATAATTTCTGAATTCTCTGTATGAGAATATTGCACCTAAGGCCTCACAGCATGAGTTAGTATTAAAATCATGAATTTTACAGTCGATTGAATTAAGAAGCGCAAGTAAGAGCGGCCCACGCCCACCAACAAAGCAGCTACCCCAGCGCAGTTCCAACTATTATCTTAACGGCTCCGTGCAGAGGTTTTTCCCCTCTTACTTTCACAGGATGGTGATGCCGTATCCCAATCGACTCCATCTCCCAATACCACACATTTGGCAGTAGATGATACCTTTAATTCATACCTAAAGAAAGAGGAGTTTAGTACTTTTCCAGAAGACAACCCGGAAAGGGTTCTTCCCCCACCTCCCCACGCAGGCAAGTTATTACCCAAAAGCTGTCCCCGCTCTGAAATGAGATCTGGCCACGTCAAAGCCACTAAATCAGAGCACTAATAAGAACCAAACTGAAGCAGTTCACTGTGTTGCCACACGCTCATCTCACTGAGGATGTAATGTAATGGTTTCACTGGAGACTTGCACTGGGAAACCAGGGAGGGAGGGGGGTGGTGGGTGTTGCTGCCTGTGATCCCTGTCTTCTGACCCGAGTCAGACCCTTTCAAGCAGTGATCCACTCACCCAGGATGACAGATGAATGTCACAACTGTCTCAAAGAGGAAATTCTCTGCAATCACATCCCCGTTCTCTATCGTGGGAGGAGTACATTGCTGTCCTGGAGGAAAAGAAAGCAGCGGAGGAATTACTGCAAACCCAGAGCTGGGCGTGAACCAAATTCCAGACTACGTAGCATCTCAAGCATGCACAGGTCACTTGTACAGTCAGTCAAGACAGGAGAGGAACAGAAATACTCACGTATACAGAAGTCTGGGTCTGCAGACCAAGTTCTATCACTTAGACAAGTGACAACAGAGGACTTTCCATTTGCTGTAGTATAACCCGGTTTACACCGATACATCAGCGTAGTTCCAGCAAGAGAGCTGTCACCCACAGCCCTTGTTAACTCAGCGAAAGGGAAGTGTGGAGCAGGACCGCAGTAGACTAACAATTGGAGACAAAAGCAAGGTTAGCTACAGAAGAGTACCCAAAGGGTCTGCAACAACAACAGCGAATGGCATGTTTTGGAGCACACGACATTTTAACCTGGCTGAACGTCGGTGTCTGGGATACGGTTTGCATCCAACCCATTTAGCAAACAGCAGCACGTATCACAGTTTACTTAACCAGAGAAAAGATGGAGAGCGGGTAGCATCTCTGAGGCAGAGATGCTCCGTCCCTGACCACCAACCCAACCTACAGAACCTGCAGGACCAGCTGAGCTCAGAAGCCAAACGTCCCCAACAGGTCTGGAAGCTGGTGAAGCAAGCCTGTCAGGTGTAGAAGGCAGTTTTCTCTCTCCTTTCTGTGCACTTTTGGATGATTTACAGTTCACAAATAAATAGCTTCAGGTCTAAATATATAACTGGCCTGGGCTGTCATGCCGAGGACCCAGCAGGATGCTCTGCAAGGGCATGGCGACGAGTGCACAAGATTTGGAAGCTGATCTGCCTACAGATGCACAACATTCAGAAGCTCTTAGACCTACATCAGTGCAATTGCTCAAGGAAATAAATTTGTTTGTACTCACTGGGGTCGCATGTTGGCAGAGGTGGCTTCCAGGTACTGTCTGCTTCACAAGTAACTACACTACTACCATTCAATAAATAGCCAGGATTACACTCAAAGGTCACTGTATTTTCATACGTGTGCTCAGTGCCAAAGCCAGATAACCTTCTCCCATTTTTCACTTCTGGATTTTTACATCTGACCACTGGAAGCAAAGATAAGAAGAATATTTATTACAAGAAGGAAAAGCCCTGCTGTAACACCAGAGGTATTATGCGAGAAGCTTACTAAGAGAACTGCCATCCTTTCACTCTGGGAGAGGCAGGTCCCAGTGGGGCGTAAGTACTCCGTGAACACAAACGTCCCGGGCACGGGCAGGGCGAGGGAGGCTGGCTGCAGGCTGAAGAATCCATTAAACCAAGCCATGCCTCTGCCCACAACTGGGAAGATCACCGCATTCGGCTTTCTGGGAATCATTTTCGATTCAAATCAACCTCCTTGTGTTTGGCAGCTGACTGGGAGAGGGATGAGCAACAAAGTCAAAAGGGGGAAAAGAAAACATCTACCTTTGCATTGAGGGGCTGGACTGCTCCATATTCCCTGGAATTCCTCATCCATCGTACAGTGAATCGTGGCATCTCCAATGAGAGCGAAACCTTTGTTACAGCTGTAAGTTACAGCCATGCCAAAGGTGAAGTCTCTGTCCTTGTTGATGAGCTGCCCGTTCTCGATCTCAGGAGGTGGCAAACAGGGAATACCTGCGTGGGAAAGCAACAGCAAGAAAATGCAAGAACATTTCCATCAAATATGAAACTGAGGTCTAGCTGGTAAAAACAAAACAAAACCAAACCAAACCCAACTCAAACAACAACAACAACAAAAAAGACAAAGAAAAAAGCAGGGAAGCAGCCCTAAAGCAATCATCTCAACCTAAAGTCTGGAATGAGCCTTTACATTCTGAATGTCTTCCAGGGTTTTTTTAAAATGGATAAATGGTAAAACAGCAAAACAGCCTCTATTGTCCAAGAGGAGACACTACAGGAGAGCCCTTCTGGAGACAATAAACAGGGTCTTACCAGGTAGCTCGGGAGCCTCACCTACCAGCGATGGCATTTCCTACCTTCGTTGTGCTAACAAGGATGAGGCCAGAATACCTATTATAGCAGCAAACCATCTAAACTATCAGCAGCTGATGGTCAAGTCTATCCCACAGGATGCTAAAAAAATCCCAAACAGCACCAACACAACTCTTAGAATTTATTTCCCCTTTGAAAATTAACATTTTGGATGTGCAGTCATGTCTGAAGGCATCCCAGTCCTGGTCAAGCACAACTCTTGATAAACAATTCAGCAACGGTTGCCTGATGGAAAAGACAACACGAGTAACGCGGGGTCCGCGCCAGCCTGGCAGAAAGCTTGCTGCGTGCCTGGGCTGGGCAATACCAACAAGCAGTCTCAGGAGCTGCTTTTCTCATAGATCTGATGATGAGCTGCTGCCAACATCCACAGATCCTCCTTAGTATTTAATTTTCACTCCCAGCTCCAGCCAGAGTGCTTGTTTGGAGGAGAGGTAAGGAGTCAGTCTCATTAAAGGCTAATGTAATTTGGATCAAGTGCCAAAAAGAGAGTATCCACCTGCCGTTCCCCAAACTACCAGGTCTATTGTAGTAGCTTCAAGGAAGAGATGTACACAAAATATTTAAGGTCTGCTTACTGGCACAGTATGGCGTGCTATCCCAAGAAACTTCATTGTTTTTAAGTACACATCGCACAGACTGCTTCCCAACTAATCGGTACCTAAGAAAAGAAAAGGTTGAATCTCTTTTTTACAAAGTGGAAAAAACACTTATGAAACTCAGAAAGTTGTACAGCTTCTAATGGTATTCTCTGGGGAAAAATCAGCTAGCCCTCCTATAAAATATAATTTTCTCAATACCTAAAGAAATGCAATATATGATGCAGTTAGAGGAAACTTAATACTTGCAGCAGATGGATACAAGCTCACAGGAGCATGAGCAAGACGGCCTCCCCACCCTGAGGCTGTTCAGCCCCATGCTGTGCAGCGGTAGATCCAAACAGAAACCTATTTTTGGAGCAGAGCTAGGTGTGACTGACGTACCCTACCCGCTAAAAAAAAACTCCCGGCATCGCCCCGCAACCCTCCTTTCCTGAGAACCCTTAGCTCAGACCCCATCACACGACAGCAATCGCTGAATTACTAATGAGCACCGACTGGAAAGGAACAAAATTCTTTGCAAAGCAGCCAGAAAGCGGTCTGCAAAGTCCGCGCTCTCATGCCCAGAAGATAATATGGACAGCAAGAGCAGGAGGGAGCCTGGTCCCCATGGCTCCCCACTCCCAACACCTCCCGCCGTGCCTGTGCTTGCCAAGGAAACGGCCTCCAGACATTAAAGGCCTCCGAGTCTCCCGCGGGCGCTGTCTCCTCAGCTCCATCGACTCACCAGGAGCCTGGGCCAGCACTTACCCAACGTTACAGGTGTAGGTTATCGTCGCCCCAAACAGGAGGTCGGTCGTGTAGTGAAAGATGCCATTCGCGATGTCCGGTGGACCGCACGACTTTCCTGGAAGGACAAGTGATCAGCATTAGCTTTATTTTACAGCATAATAGTGAAACGCAGGTGGCATTGCTGTCCAGTGTCGTTACAGACTAACTGGCCGTTTATTCGGCACCTCACTTCCCTCATGAGCAAGTACCAGCACCTTCAGAAAAGATACAAGATCCACATTAACTGCTGAGGAACTGGAAGTTAAAACACAAATAAAAAACAAATAAAAGCACAAAAATAGCTAAGGACAAATAGAAAAATCCAAGGTTCGTACGGTTAACGAGAAAAGAAACTGATAAAGAGAGCAGTGGGCTCAGGGTCTCGGTTTGTAGGGAGACAGCATGGAGGAAGAGGGGACAGGGAGGGACCCACTGACCACCCTACGGCCAGTACAGGGGCATTACCACGGGGACAGCAGGCTCCCACAGCCTTTTGCACACCAGACCTTGTTTCTGTGCGAATATATTATAGCAATTACAGTATATCACCAGATGGTAAAGTAATTAAGAAGGGCACAGATCATCTCCCAGAGATTAATGTTTCTAAGCAGGAAGGGCAACCCCAGAGGCAGGCACACAGGCTGAGCGCTGGTTCTCAACTGTCCTAAAAACGTTAACGTGGGGAGCACTCCCTCCCCCTCAACTGCACCGAACCGTCAGCAGGGTCTGGGGTGCAGCAGGGGATGCACCCCCACCCCCCCGCACACCCCAAATCCCAGGAGCCCGCGAAGGGGGGAACCCACCGATGCAGAAGTCAGAGTCTGACGACCAGCTGGAGTTGGAGAGGCAGGTGACGTGGGGCAACTTGTCCCTGGCCATCGTGTACCCCGGGCGGCACTTGTAACTCAGCACGGTCCCCACGGCGTAGGACTCCTCCAAGGGCATGGGGGCCTCCGCAAAGTC